TAGTGAGTTCAAGGCCAGCCTGAACTACAAAGCAAGAACTTGTCTCCAAATAAATAAATAAATAAATGGGGCTGGGGGTGGGGAATTGGTATAAGAAATAATTATCTTTCTCCCAAAAACAATAAAGTGAAAGGAGCAGCCTGGTGTGCACACAGCCTGGGGCAGCCAGGTAGCACATACCTACAATCCCAGCACACGGAGAGGGAGCTAGGAAGATCAAAAGATCCAGTCCAGCCAGGACTGGTAGCACACGCCTATAATCCCAGTAATCCCAGCACTTGGGAGGCTGAGGCAGGAGGATCATTGCAAGTTTGAGACAAGCCTGGGCTACAAAGTGACGTCAAGGCCAGCCTGAATTGCATAATGAGACCCTATCTCAAGGAAAAAAAAAAAAAAGATCCAGCCTACCCTGGGCAATTTAACAATTTAGCAGGACCCTGTCTCAAAAAAAACCCCAAAACTTAAAAATAAAGGTTGAGAACATAGCTCAGTGCTCAGGTCCTGCGTTCAATCCTCAGTACCACCAAAACATGAAAGAAAAAATTAGCAAGCAGAGGAAAAAGAACCCATCAAAGTTATAACACAAAAGAGGTTACTCTGTGCTGGTGGTGCCCCCTCCCCAACCAAGAGGCTCTGGGTCACTTGAGCCCCTGTGCCCAGTAAGTTGCCAGTATGGCCACTATCAACAACTGCTAAAACCTTAGCCAGGGGCTGTATTGACCCGCTGGGCAGCTTCACCAAGGCCACCTATGATACAATTCCTAAGACCCACAGCTGTCTCCCCTAACCCCTAACTTCCAGGGAAAGACCACGTAAACCGAGAAGCCCTACTGCAATTTTCCCATCTCAGGAAAGTGAACACCAGAGGCTTTGCGCAGAGGACCCAGACCTCAGCTATGGCTACTATATGTTGTTTTTTTGGTTTTCCTTTCGGTTATTTGAGACAGCGTCTCGCTATGTATTCCAGGCTGGCCTGGAACTCATGGCAATTTGCCTGCCTCACCCTTGAAAGTTTTCGGAGTATAGGCGTGCACTACCATGTCAGGCCAACATTATGTTTTTATACAAGGAAAAAAAAAGTGAATTATTTAGGCCTTTAAAAACAAAACTGGGGATGGGGATATAGGTCAGCGGCACAAGTGCCTGCCTGGCCAGCGCCAGGTCCTGAGTTTGATTCCCAGTACCAAAAAAACTTTAACTAGGAAACAAAGAATGACTAGTTATGCATAATATTTATTACCAATTTTATTACAGCAAAAAAGGGAAACAACCTAAATGCTTAGTAACAAAGGAACAGTTAAATCTGGCCTAGCTATGAGGAAACAGTATTCAGAATCTTTAATAATATTTTTAAAAACTGTATTGTGGAGATGTAGCTCAGGGGTAAAGCACTTGCCTAGCATGCATGAAGTCCTCAGTTTAATCACTAGTATAACAAAAAAAAAAAAAAAAGGTTAAAGCCAGTCACAGTAGTGCATGCCTATTTGGGAGGCTGAGACGGGGAGGATTGCAAATTGGACTCCAGCCTCAGTAACATAAGCAAGAATCTGTTTCAAAACACAAAAAACAAGCCAGGCTTCATGGCACTTGCTGGCTTGTAATCCCAGCACTTGGGAGGCTGAGGGAGGAGGACTGCCATGAGTTACACAGTGAGTTCAAGACCAGCCTGAACTGCATAGCAAGACCCTCTTTCAAAAAACAAAACAAAACAAAACAGTTAGGTGAGGTGGCACACACCTATGATCCCTGCTACTTAGAAGGCTGAGGCAGCAGGATATGAAATTCAAGGACAGCCTAGGCTAGGCAATTTAGCAATACCCTCTTTGATAAGAAATATCGCTGGGGATTTAACTCATACAAAGATCACGTGTTCAATCCTCAGTACAAAAGAAGAAAAAGACCCCAAAAAAAAAGAAAGAAAAGAAGGAAAATTTGGATGATTTATACCACCTGATTTCAAAGTTTAGGACAGACACAACATCAATAAAAAAGAAAATACAGATTATTTTATTGTTTGGCAGTTCTGGAAATGAACCCAGGATCTGATGCAAATTAGGCAAGTGCTCTATCACTGAGCTACATTCCCAGCTCCATTTTTACTTAAGATTTCTAATTTTGGTAAAAAATGAAAATTCATATTTTCTTTTTTTTTTTTTTTCCTGAGATAGGGTGTCACTATATATAGTGGCAGGCTAACTTGAACTCACTATGTAACCCAGGCTGGCCTCAAACTCATGGCAATCCTCCTGCCTCAGCCTCCCAAATGCTGGGATTACTGGTGTACACTACCATGCCAGTCAATCATATTTTCCATAAACTTCGTAAAATATTAAATCTTTTAGTGGTGCCTAGTAGTACAGACTACAATGCAGGTACTGTGGAGGCCTGAGGCAGAAGGATCACGAATGCAAGTGTGAGCCTACACTGGGCAAAGTAGCAACTTAACAAGATCCTGTCTCTAAATGATGCCAGGCATGGTGGTGCATACCTGTCATCCCAGCATTTGGGAGGCTGAGGCAGAAAGATCATCAGGAGTTTGAGGCCAGCCTGAACTGCATAAGGACTTCCAGGCCAGCCTGAGCTGATCTATATAGCAATACCTTGTTTCAAAAAAAAGAAAAGGACTAAAGGTGCAGCTCAGTGGTAAGGAACTCCCCTAGCATGTTGTAAGGCCCTGGTTTCAATCCCCAGAACCACAAGTCAAAATATAACAGGCTGGGGACATGACATTCTGTCTTGTTACTTCTCTCTTGTTGCAGACACAAAACACCCAACACCACAAGGTAAGGCATAAAAGCTCACAGTCTGTAGAACTTTCAGTCCATAATCAGCTGGCTGGGTGCCACGTGGCAGAGGGGGAACAGTTCATGGTGGGCACAAGGTAGCAAAGCAGAAAGAGAGGGGGACCATAACAGCTTCTTCTTGTCCTTTCTATACTGTCTAGGCTGCAGGGACTAGAGCAGTGCCAACCCAATCAGTGAACTGATTTAGTTATCACACATCCTTTATTCCAGGAGCACACACACTAGATTTAGCCACCTCTGAAAAAGCCCTGCCTACTTCCTCATCAGGCTTTGAAGGAGCATCTAGACAGAAGACATAACAGTTACTCAGTGGAAAAGCAATCCCCAGTACAAAGGAGGGGGAAAAAAACCTGAAGCTTTTATTCTTCAACATACTGTCAAAAAAAACCCTGAAAGACAAGCCACAAAGCCGAGGTGAAGCCTTGTGGTAGATCACTTGCTTATTAGCATGCACAAGGTCTTAGGTTTGATTTCTAGCTCTGCAAAAACGTTTTTAAAAAGCAAGTTATGATTGGGAGAAATATCAATACAATAGACACAAGCCTAGATTAGGCAATTCAGTAAGAAAACCAACTGCCCAACTAGAAAATGGTCAAAATATTTCATATACTTCACAAAGAGATCAGAAAGCACATGAAAAGATAGTCATGTTAGCTATCAGGAAAATAGAATTTAAATCACAATGAACTACACCTGTACTCATTAGAGCAGCTGAAAGAATAAAAAAAATGCCAAGCATTGTTATTACTGAGCAACTAGAACTTTCTCATTCACTGCTGATGGAAATGTAAAATAATATAATCACTTTGAAAAACAGAATGAGAGTTTCTTAAGACTGAATATGCAGTAATTTATCCTCAAGTATTTACAAAAGCCACATGAAAGCATACTGTTCACAAGAAGCTTTGCATACAAATACACACAGTGGCTTTATTCACAATGTCAAATAGTTGGGAGCAACTTAAACATCCACTCACAAACAATAGTTTCATTAGTACAACAGAGTATGACTCAGTCATAAAAAGGAACAAATAGGGCTGGGATGTAGCTCTGCAGCACACAAGTTTGATTCCAGGTACCAAAATAACAAACAATAAAAAAGGAACAAATGGCCATACAGTGAGTGCAAAGCCGGCCTGAACTGCACAGCAAGACTGTCTCAAAAAGCAACAAAATGCTATATGCACAATGACACGAACTATCAAACACCCTATTAAGCTAAGAGTACATACTACAGTATTCCATTTAACACTGGTGGAGAGACCTTTCTAAAGTAACAAAGTAGGGTCCGAGATACAGCTCAGTTGCAAAGTGCCTGCCTGGCAAGGTCCACAGTTCAATTCCAGTTCTCCTCCCCCAAAATGTAACTAATTAATATCTGGTTTAGAGAAGGAATAACAATGGGAGACAGCTAGAACACAAAGCTTTTGCAAAGTTACACAGCCATCTTTTTTTTTTTTTTTTAAGTCTTGCTGGGGCTGGGGATTTAGCTCAGTGGCACAGCACCTGCCTGTCAAGCATGAGGTCGTGAGTTCGATTCCCGGTACCGGAAAAAAAAACAAACACAAAAAGTAAATAAATAAAAAAAGCTTGCTAAGCCACGAAGTTGCCCAACTTGAATTTACGATCCTCCTGCATCAGTCTCCCACAGTACCTGGATTAGAGGCATGTGCCACTATACCTGGCTTTTTTTTTTTTAAAATGAGGTCTCATTCTGCAGTCTTCTCCTGTCTCAGCCTCTGGAGTGCTGGCATTATACAAATGTATTAAACTGGCTTCCAATTTCTTTTTTTTTTGTCTTTTTGAGACAGGGTCTCGCTATGCTGTTCAGGCTGGCCTTGAGCTCACTTTGTGGCCTAGGCTGGTCTTGAACTCCCAACCCTTCTCCTGCCTCAGCCTCCCAAGTGCTGGGATTACCGGCGTGCACCACCACGCCCGGCTGGCTTCCAATTTCTTAAAGGGTTACTTTATATGACTACTATGTACACATGACAAATGAACAAAAATTCAAGGCCAGCCTAAATTATACAGCAAGACTGTCACCAAAAGAAAAAACCTTTAATCACAGTCACTGACTATTCCTTCAACACCTACTTACCGTATGTCAAGACAATATAAACTTCAAGGAAGGACAGAATTCCAGAACAGAGAGAAGCCCATATGTAATGGGACAGAAGAAAAACATTGAAAACTTACGTTGTTAGCAAGAACGCCCCATCACCACATCTCTCCAGAGCCTTTCGTGCCGGAGGTTTCGCTGCAAATTCTACAAAACCTTTTCCAGTAGCTCTACCGCGATCATCCACAACCACAACAGCTTTCTCTACTGGGCCAAACTGGGAAAATGCTTGCTCCAGAAGCTCATTGGAAACAACTGGAGAAAGGTTCTTGACAGTTAGAGCCGCTCCATGTGTAGCAAAGCGAATTCGCAGAGGTCTGCTCTTCAAAATGGTGCCATCCAGTTCTGCTTTTGCAATTTCAGCCAATGTTCTGGATTCCTTTTTAGGAGGAAAAATCATTTTTTAAAGATAGTAACAAAAAAAATCAAAATAGTGATTTGCTTCTAGGGAGAATTAGGCAGATTTTAGAAATGCATGATCAAGTTATTTTGTTTTCCTTTAACTTTGTTATCAAGTGCTTTCTATTAGGTATTCAAAGATATTTGTAAACATTTTACGTGAGGTTCCAACAGGTTATGCTGTTAGAAGTCATCCATCACTTAAATTGCTCATACACAAGTTAACAGCATTTATTTATCTGCTTATTTATTTTGGTACTGGAAATTGAACTCAGGACCTTGGGCTTGACAGGCAGGCGCTTGTGCCACTCAGCTGTACCCCGGGCCCAAGTTACCAGCTTTTAAACACCAAAACAGGGCTGGGGATTTAGCTCAGCGGCACAGTGCCTGCCTGGCAAGCGCAAGGCCATGAGTTCAATTCCCCGTACCAGGGAAAAAAAAAAAACAATAAATAAATAAATAAATAAAAATAAATACATACACACATACCAAAACAGTATCTTTTTTAAATCGCCCACATACACTGAAACAAATTATTTTTGAGACCAAGTGCCAGTTATTAGAAACTACCACGGGAAGTGTCATTTTTTTTTTTATATCCTCTATGTTTTTACTACTGACATCTTGCTGGGCATGGTGATGCACACTAATCCAGCATTCAGGAGGCTGAGGCAGGAGGACTACCAGCCAGCATGGTACTACACAATGAGACCCTGTCTCAAAAAAAAGATTGGTACTTTAACAAAACATCCACCTCTCCTCTCCAAGGCCAGAAAAATCCCTTTTCCTTTTTATTTCCATTTCTCTCTCTCTCTCTTTTTTTTTTTTTTGTACTGGGAATTGAACTCACGACCTTACGCTTGCCAGGCATCCATTTCTCTTTTATGTTATGTACAAAACTAAACTAGGTCCTATTAATCATTCCTCCTGAAGTACTTGCATGGCTTGCACATTCTCTACGATCACTTGGGCAAGTGCACTCATTTACAGTAACTGTTCTTTCCACTGGAGAAAGAAACAAGGGTCTGCAAGCACTCATATACCAGACAATATACTCACTGCTAAACCTGAGAGAGTATCTTTTTTACCTCAAAAATTCAAAGCTGACAGAGAATGGCAATGGAGAGTAAGTACCTCAGTAGTAGAGTACTTGCCTAGAAAGTGCAAGGCCCAGGTCTGACTAGGCAGAAGGGGTGTTAGTTGGTGCATAGAATACAAGCATCTAAGACAATAAATAGCAAACTGGTAAGTTTAAAAAAGCCATGCTCTTTTTCATTGTGCTATGGGCTTTCTAAGAAGAACTGGAGAGGCTGTACATGCTTATGTAAGAAGAATACAAATACAGTATTGTAACAAACACGTCTTAAGGTCACAAAAGCTCTTTCGCTTCAAGCTCCCCCACAAGGGACTAAATCCAGTGGTGCTCTACCACTGAGCTCTAATCCCCAGTTTTTAACTTTTTATTTTCAAACAGGGTCTCACTAAGTTGCCTTAAACTTTTGATCTCCCTGTCTCAGCCTCCCAGGTAACTAGAATTACAGGTGTGAGCCACAGTGCCTGGGTTCACAAGAGCTCTTTTTTGTTTGTTTTTCTCCAGTACTGGGAATCGAACTCACGACCTTGCACCTGCCAGGCAGGCATTGTGCCACTGAGCTAAATTCCCAGCCCCTCACAAGAGCTCTTTATTCAATCTGTAAAATGTTCCCAAAAGCTTGAAGTTCCTGCCCTTATGCAAATACCGTACCTGTCTACAGAACTATTTTTACAAAAACAAATGAAGTTAACCTTTTCAGAGATATTCAGAACAGTCACAATGTTTTTTATCCTTACTAAACATTAGTAGTAGTAGCAAAAAGTTTAATGACTAAAAACTGTCAAGGGGACGAGCATGGTGGTCCATGCATGTAATCCTAGCACTGGCAGAGGAGGAAGGACTCCAGTTGAAGGCTTGCCTGGGCTACATAGTGAGTTCAAGGGCAGTCTCAAAAATAAAGTCAGGAGAGGGAGAGGATGGGAGGAAGGGAGGGAGAGGGGTACGGGGGAGAGTGAGACAGGGGTGAGGGGGAGAAAGGGAAAGGGAAAAGGAAAGGGAAAGAGAAAGGGAAAGGTAAGGAAGAAGTAGGTATGGATGCAGATCAGTGGCAGAGCACACATCTAGCATATGCAAGGTTCATCCCCCGTACTTAAAAAATAAAATAAAAAATTTAAAAGGGCTGGAGGTATGTAGCTCAGTGGTATGGCACATGCTTAGTAAGCATGATACCCTTGGTTCAATCCCCAGCACAACTAAATAAAAAATAAATTATTTTGTGACTTCCATTTATAAATGATTCTAAACTAGAATCTTTCTCAGCCTCAGCACCACCAACCTGCTTAACTGGCCATATAATTTTTGTTATAGGGGGGCTATTCTGTATATTATAAACTTTTGTGAATGAGGACGACGACAGGGGTCAAAGGGAGGGTAGAGAAATGGGAAAAAAAAGAACCAAATATATCATGTACAGATACAAATTCCCCATGACAAATGTGATTACCATGTATACCTAAAACGTACCAATAAACTTAATTTAAAAAATGTTATCCATCAATTAACTAGAAAACCATAACCACTAGTTTAAGAAAATTTATTTGCATTTTAAAAGTTATTGAATAAAAAGTATTTCCAGGAACATAAACTAAAGAAAATTATACTTTTGTACAGCACTGGGGAATGAACTCAGAACCTCTGCACTAGCCCCTACTTTTCTTTTCAGAGGTAGAGTCCTGCTAAGTAGCTCAGGCTGGCATTCAACTCATTTTGTTGCCCAGGCTGGCCCTAAACTTATACATACTCTCCTGCCTCATCCTCCTGTGTGCTGGATTGCAGACATGCACCACCAGGGCCACGCCCAGGCCCAGGCCCAGCCTTATTCTTTTTTAGGTTTTCAGGGGATTCTTTGCTTTGCTTTGTTTTGTTTTGAGATGGGGTCTCACTGTGTAGTTTAGGCTGGCCTTGAACTCTCTATATAGCCCAGGCCTGAACTTCCTGCGAACCTCCTACCTCCAGCCACCGGAGTGCTGGGATTATATGCTATTGGTGTGTTCCTCGCTAAACTGTAAAGCTACCTTTAAAGTCTAATTTTGTAAACTAAACTCCGATTTTCAACTAACCAATCTTTACTATTCCTATACACACACACACAAATTTAGGGTGCTGTATTTGGAAGAGTACATCCCAAAGGAACAGACAACACCAGCCCTTCACCTCCTACTTCACAATGCCACAGAAAAAAATGTGTTCATCAACAGGAGGAAAAGTAATGATTGTTCTGTCCCATAAACTAGCCACATAGGGGCTGGGGATTTAGCTCAGCGGCAAAAGCGCCTGCCTGGCAAGCGGAAGGTCGTGAGTTCGGTTCCCGGTACCGGAGAAAAAA